TTTCACTATTTGTGTATTTGGCAATGTTAAATTATACCATTTCTATATTTGGCAAAGTTCAATTATACGATTTCTATATTTGACAATGTTAAATTATTCCATTCCCACATTTGACTTAAATTTTACGACAATTTTATTATTCTCCACCATTTTTTGAATCACACCCTAATTATAAATTACCACCAAATTCACAACAAATCGACAAGAATTCGTCTATCTCAGGATGAAAAATTACGAGTAGGGTTTCAAAAGTGAAAAAGGGAAAAATAACAATGAAATATGTGTCAGGTTGATGAAACTACCTGTCGAAATATTTCTGAAGATGGAGAAGGACACTTTGCGCTATTATATATATATATAGGTATATGATACCGGGAGAAAGAGATGGTAACGGATCGATTGAATAATAATAAAAAAAAAAAATTGAAAGAAAGAAAGGAAAAAAAAGCTCAAAGTGCAGTGAGAACACGAATCATCCGATACGATATGTTGGCATCAGAGACGTTGGGGTGAATATAGAAAGGGGGATGGGGGCAAAACCGTTATGGCAAAAGGAGGGGTGGACCGCGGTCTATTCAAGAGTAAAACCGCTCAAAGCAGCTGCCCCCGCCCCCTTAAGAGTGAAACACACGAAAATCCGTGTGTGTCTCCTTAAAACGAAACGAAAGTTTTCTGTTTGGAAAAAAAATAGAATAGAAAATGAATAGAAAAAAATTCGATTCAATTTAGATTCTTTTGAACAGGTTGAATTTTATTGTTCGCGTTTTGTATTCGCCTTGCCTAGTTCTATTGTTGTTGCTAAATCTCCAAGAAGCTAATTTGAAGTCGTTCGAATGTTTTTGAATTTATTTTCAATCTCTTAAATATTGAATCCCTATCTGTCTATTTCGGTTGGATTTTTGATTCCGAATTTGGATCAACTTATGATTTTTTATGCACGCACTTTTTGGTACCGATTGCAAACTGATTCTTTTAAGTGAATAGTGTTAGTAGCATTGGACATTTCAAGAAAATCTAAAAGTTGTTTGCTTTGTATCAAAGTTTCAGTAATCAAAAATCAGAAGATGATGGGAAGATGTTCCAAAGATGGAACAGATCGAAAACAATTTCTACCATGTTTCGAACGAAAACAAACATTCAGTAGATAATGATGATTCGAAAAAATCAGTAACTGAAGATTAGTGGATGAATGGTGGTAGTAGAAGGGGAAACCGGTTGAAGAAAAAAAGAAGTATGACAAGAGGGAGAAAGGAGTTTTAAGGCAGCCAGATGTACTAGCGGGGGTAAAAACGTAGGGGGCAGACGAAGTGCTCATTGTAAGATCGGCGCGTGCGGCACGCGGCTCCCCTTTTTGCACACACATACACACACACACACACACTCTATTTTTCTCTCTTTCTTTTTCTCTCCAGTCGTTTCTGTCACGTCTCGTCCCTTCTCACCCATGAACTTCTCTAGTCCCTGGACCCCTGTTCTTCGGCCTCCCTTTTCTTTTATAAAAGGGCGGCAGCCAGTCGACCCGGGGCCCAGAAAACACACTGATTGTCGAAGGCACATCTGCCATACGATCGCGCTCGATTGTCCGAAGCTTAGAAACTTGTCCGTGAAAAAAAGTGGCTTAGGGTGATGACGAGACAACTGAAAGATGAAAAGGGTCCAAGAGCGCATCACAAGTTTTTCATTACTCCCTATTAAATTACATCCAAACTGATACACAACCTCTCTCATTCTCTCACCCCTTCTTTTTTTTATCGATGCTTCCCACCCAGGAGTTAACATAACTAATTGGCGATCGTGCTTTACTTTCTATTCGGTGATTCTTAGGACGGTTGGGTCCTGAACCTAAATTTTAGATAGGCTCTAGGCTCAAAGGTGATTTTTAGTTCGGTTGTATCCTAAACCTAAATTTTAGATAAGCTCTAAGATGATCTTTAGTTCGGTTGTATCCTAAATTTTAGCCTAGGTTAAAAGCTAAGTTTTAGGCTGAAAGGTTAGCCTAAGATAAAAAAATTTCCCGTTCGCAACGAAAAGTAGATTCGCGAATATTGAAATTAACTGAAAAAAAGTCGACCCCATCATGTTGCATTCTCAAGCTTTGCTTGCGGTTTTTGCTGCTTCTTTTCACCCTTCGCGTCTCCTTCTCCGACGTGATAAACCCTTAGCTATAAAAATACATCATAATTGCTACGCTACCGCCATGAAATAGAATCAAGTAATCACTTGTTAAGTTGTATTTTAATTACGTGATTTTCCCTCGGCTCACTCTTAGATTCGGTTTTTTTTTGCAAAAATGTCGCGGGGGTTTTTTTTTTTATTAATACACACGCGCCTTGTCGCGCATACCTGAGTGTCTAGAGTTGATGGCGTTAAAGTGTTAATTACTAATTAAGAAGGGTGCAACATCAAGACCCTGAGCGACACCTTTTTTCAACGCGCCCTCTGAATACAGACTCATACGCTCTGCTGGACAAATATCAAATGCGACCAGGCAAAATTATTCTTTACATATACATATCTAGTTGCGCATTTTTCTTTGCTCTGTATCAACATGATGCTGCTCATTAAATTGCCGTGTGATTTTTAATTTCTATTAATTCCTATTAGTTTTCATCTTTAGTTTAAATTTCTATTTTTAGTTTTGATTGTTAGGGGATTTTTAAGAAAGGTTGTTAATTGGGGGGATGATGGTCGATTGGAGGGGTTTGATAAATTTTGGCATCGTTCTCGAGGCGCAACTGTGGGAAAGTTTCCGGACTGCTTCGCAGGGTTAGAAGATCAAGAAAAGCATTGTCAAAGGTCGGCCACCTGAGTGTAACGGTTGAAAAAAAGAGGGGAGGAGTTTCTTGAATAGAGTGTGTAAGACGAGAAGTACGACGTCTCAACGAGTCACTTGAAAACAGGGGAGAAACGACTTTTAGCCACATCCGTAACTTGATTTTTTTCCCACTGATATACTAAAGTCTCTTCGAAATTTTCGATATTATTCAAATACTTTCAGATTGAATTAAAAGAAACAAAAGGATAATTCTTATAAATACCTTTCCATCTTTCTGAAAAGGTCCACTTATGCCATCGATAGTCTGCATCATCTGCATCATGTGAAATCAAAAAAACAAGATTTTGTTAGAACTGAAATCATGAAATCAATTTTCTTTAAATAAAGTATAAGTATACAGTGTGGTATAAAGCAATTAGCGGTGGGAAGAAAGAGCCACTGCATTATTGTTATTGAGAAAAGAGGTTGGCATTTGGAAGCATTCTTGTTACTCTTAGCGGCAACGAAGCGTCTCGTAATTAGATGCTAATAATCACACCCTCATTGCTGGTGAAATATCTCTCACTCTTTTCTCCTTCTCTCAGTCTATCAATTCGTCCCCTGCTTCAACGATGCGCAAGAAGACCCCGAGGCAGTCAAGAGCTTATTATTCTAATTATACACAATACGATAATGAACTCGTTGGTCCTCTCTTTATTTTTTTTCACGTCTCCATATCTCTCACTCTCTTGAGGTTGCTCTTCTTCGTACTTTGATGCAGTTCGAAGAGTGGCAATTCTAGCACTCGGCTCTTTTTTTTTTGTCGTCCTATACTCTCAAATGACTAGAGGGAAAAAAAAACCTAGTCCTCTCCCTCTTGCACTCTTACAAAACCATTATGCGACATCGTAATCCATCTCTCGTACCGCGCGCTGTCTCTCTCTGTCTCCAGGAGTGTCTGTTTTAATTAGGCACTCGGCGAATATCATCAAGATTTTGCCAGCAATCCGAAAAGCGTATAACTGAACATTCTATATACTTGGCGATTCGACGAAGCTCGATTCGACGAATGCTGTTCGATGGGTGGTTGAATAAGGATTATAGACACCCTCCCTGCTGATGTCGAAGAGACGTTCAAGTGTCTCGTATTTATTACGAACACTACGCTTGCTACCGCTAATCAAAGAAAATTGTTTCTTGCTGATGAAAGATCTTCTAGATACCGCAAACATATTTTTTCTCTAGATGGAATCCTTTTTCTCACTCTAGAATCGCAAGTATAAACTCCCAGACAATTTTTTCCAAAGCAAGAAAATCAGCGCATTTTTATCAGCGCATATCAATCGTGTGCTTGCTGAATCAGAAGCAATCTTAAAAATTATCCTCGAGACACAAGAGTTATCAAACTGCTTTTTCCAGTGAACCGTAAATATTTCCTTTAGAATTCTCCTCGATTTTCACAAGATTCACGAGGAGAATCTCTCGTGAGATTCGCGTAACGCCGAGAGTGCCTCATGTATGCGCAATAATATACTTTAATGACAAAGTCTTTTCCCTAACCATCATCATATTCCCTTGTGAGAAATATATAATTCTTATCCTTCTTTTTTTTTTGCTGTCTTGTAATTAATTCACTGACAATATTTATACATGCATTTTTGAAAAAAGTTGGCGGGTCATCATCTGTATAATTAACGGGTTGCCAATTAGTAATTTAGTTTTATTTTCCCCAAAGGTTTCGTTAATTAACAGAAAACTAAACTGTTCCAGGTCTTTTACTGACTTATACTGTATTTTTTGCGCAGTATTTTTTTCTGTGTGTGTGTGTGTGTGTGTGTGTGTGCTTCTCGAGTCTTCTTAGATAGCTCGTTTTTACACCATTATAAACGTGGAGGCGTTCGTCCCAGCCCCTTTGAAATGTGGGCGACGTCGCGTGCTCTTTTTTTCCGAATGAACTCACCTTTAGACTTGTACGACGACAAGAGAAGAGAGCGAATATTTTTCTCTCTGCAAAGAGAGTGGCAAGTATTCTCTTTGCGTCATCTCTACGCGCTCTTTAGTATATCGATCTTTAATTAATTAGTGGCAATGCACATATCTTTACCGCATTAGTGACTCAATCTCTTCCCTCCTCCCTTGCCTCATGTTCGCCTCTCTTTGCAAAAGAGAAGGCGCGCCTTTTTCTGAAGGTGATTTCTATATAAAAGTGTCTCTAATTTGCAATCTTTTTTTTTCTATGTTACAGGGAGTTCTACTATATCCAGATGGAAAAGTACGCGAGACAAGCTGTATCGGAAGGTGTGAAGAATTCTGATGATCTACGAGTTGGAGGTGATTCGGAAATCTATCGAGTTCTCAATCTTCACTACAACCGCAACAACCACATTGAGGTATGGGGTCCCCAGGTGCGCAATTGAAACTGAACAACGCACAATGCTATAAACATTTCTTTTCGTTTCTTTATTTTTTTGGAAAATTCCTTTTGCAAACTGCTCTTTTGCATGCGACAACTGCATGCTAACAAATGCTAAAAATGTTTACAATGTTGAAAACGTTTACAGTGTTGAAAACTTTGACAATGTTGGATACGTTGAAAATGTTGGAAGTTGTTAAAAATTGGAGCTAAGCAAAAAATTTTTGTCACGCTGCTTTTGAATGTCTTTAAACAAATTAGAAGAAAACAGCAAGAGACTAAATTCCCTTTTGTTACAGGTGCCTGGCAACTTTAGGTACGTTGTGGAGCAGACTTTGAAAGAATTTTTCAAAGCAATTCAAGGTGGTAAGGATACGGAACAATCCTGGAAGAAGTCAATCTACAAAGTGATCTCGAGGCTAGACGATCCGGTACCAGAGTACTTCAAGAGCCCAAATTTCCTTGAGCAACTGGAGTAAAGGTGTGCTCACATCCCCAATTTAATCAGCGAGCATCGAGTGTGATTGCTTGATGATCGGCAGAGAAGAATTTTTAATGAAAAGAAGATGAAGAAGAAACAATGACACCGCGACGGCTGAGAAGGACCTTAATCTCGTGGTTGACCGTCGATGGAAGCGCATCAGGTATCCTTAGTAACATATCGAAACCGAGCGAGAGGAAAACGAAAGCGTAACACCTAGAGATCATCATAAAAAATTTAAAAAAAAACAAAAAACCGTCGCCAAACATTTGTCACCGATGCGGACATGGCGAGCGGATCACTTATATCCGAAACTCAAAACTTTGAGTGATAGGAATACAAAACTCGAATAAGCGTGTCAATTAATTTGGGCGAGATGACAATTTTATCGAGCACCTCAATAAAAACCGATTGACAAGTGGTCCACGATGAGAAGGTCGAATTCGCGCATAAGTTGACTTTTTTTAAAAATCAAAATCCTTTTATACATTGAGGTGATTTTTAGAAATTTTCGCCAACACAAAATCGTTACCAAAAAAAAAAATCAAATTGTTCTAAAAAAATCAATTTTTTCTTTATTATCAATTCACGAAAAGTGTTCTCAAAGAACTTTTTATGAATTGATAGAAAAAAAATTCTTCGAGACGAGGAATGGAACGATCTGAAATTAATCGCAAAGCGCTCAATTTCACGTCGTTTACTATTTTAGTGACGATTTTGTATATTAATACTCGTCACGTGCTGTGAATTATCGTTTTTTTTTTTGTTAACAAAATTAACGTATTAAAGAATAGAGAGGGAAATTCTCTCGCGGAAAAGTGTTTGCAATACGTGACGAGGATTATTATTTTTCGGCCCTTTGGAGATGACTCGATGACGAGAACTCCAAAGTTGCAATCTGCAGAATGCAAAAAACTTTCTTTTCTTAGAAAAGGTATTCATACCAAATAAGTTTTTTTTTTGCTTGAACTTTCGGGTTCTTCAAATTGTAAATATGAGAACAAACAAAAAATTTTAATGTATTGTATAGGCCACAGAGGTAAAGTACGATAAACGTGACGCAACATTATTATTATTATTATTAGTTTTTTCGTGCAAAAGAGGGAGAGCGTGCGAGTGAAAAGTAAAAGCGAGCGAATGAATAAACCAACTTTTCACGAAGGGCAAACAAAAAAAAAAACTTCGCGAAAAAAAATTTAGTGAAATTACAGATTTAAAAAAAAAATTCAAATCAGCAAATTTATTGTGTAACACTTTTAATGCTATTGGACCAAAAATGCATTAATGCGGGGACAAACTGATTGTTTAAAGGACATTTTCTTTTTGCAATCTGTGTTTCAGCGGAGAATAATATTAGAACGATGGGATTTTTTATCAGGAGAATTTTAATATTAGCATTTTTTTTATTTTTTGCAATTCAATTTTAATCAAACTTCAATTTTAAGTATAGAATTCAAGTAAAATTAAATTTTATTTTTGAAATTTAATTGAATTTGAAAAATAAAATTAAATTTATTTAATTTAAATAAGATCAGATTTAACTGAATTTAAAAAATAAAATTCAAATCTTTAGTTTTGAGATTTAATTGAAGTTGGAAATTAAAATTGAATTCTTTCATTCTTTTGGGACTTATTTCTAATTGCGAACAATTCTTCAATGAAGTAAAATTTTAGGCAAATAATTTTTATTCCGAGTGTAAAAAAAATATAGGGACATTTTTTTACCACAATTAAAATTATCGAACTGATATCAAAAGTATCAAATTGATTAAACAAAATTTGATACTTTTGGTATTTTTCGAATTCAAAATATTCTTAAGAATTTTAAACCGGTTGGAATAAATTTTAATAAATACTAAAAAAAATTTTATTCGATTCAAATAAACCGTTATTTATTTAAATCAAATAAACGATCATTTATTTGATTCAAATAAATGTTTATTTGATGCTAAGCAAACATTAGAGATTTTTCCATCTGTTATTTGAATGAAATAAAATTTTTTTCAGTATATAATGTAAATTATAATAAATTGCATTAAATTATAAAGGTTTATAATAAATTATAATAAATTATAATAAATTATAGTTAATTATAATGAATTATAATAAATTATACTAAATTGCAAAAAATTATACAAAATTATAATAAATTACACAAATTTACAAAAGAATTAAACAAAATTACGAAAAAATTACACAAAATTAAAACGAATTACCCAAAATTAAGAAAAAATTATACAAAATTTAAATGAATTACACAAAATTAAAAAAAAAATTACAATAAATTTAAACAAGTTCAAAATAAACTTCAAGTTTCCACATGTTTAAATTTGTCATAATTTTCTTTCAATTATCAAAAAAAAAAAAAAAAAAATTCAAATAATTTAAAGCTAATCGAACGAAATTGAACATTTTTTTTATCCAATTCTGAATAACTGAAAAAAAATTTTCCCCACTCTTAAAGTATCAAACTTTGAACAATATTTTGCAAACAGTCTTGAATTTTAAAAACAACTCTAAAATAGAAAATGAAAATTTCCAAAAAATAAATTTTGAAAATTTTAGACATTTTGAAATTAAGAACTAAAAGCAAATTTAAAGTTTGAGATTTTAACACAAGAAAACCAAAAGAGAAAAAAAAGCTTCAGTCGTTCTTCCGCGAGGCATTAATGACCTAATATATTAATTATAATGAATAATAATATCCGTTACAATTAATATTATTTTGAGATGCTAGGCTAGTCGTAGTGTCAAGATAAAACGTGTAAAGAATTTAAAATTAAAACTAAAAAAAAAAAATAAGGAAATTAAGAAAAAAAAAGAGAATTTGAATCGTACCGGCGGCGTCCTGATATAGTAGGGCAATGATATAAGTGAAAAAAAAACTTATGGGTGAAATTGACATTAGACGCGGGTACGTATCTATTTAGAGTAGATTATATTGAGAGAATATAATTATATATAAATATATATATATAGATATATTAGCATTTTTTTTTTTTTTTAATTGAGAAAGTTAATAACGACGCGATTTCACATCACAATGTTGAACACGAATTATTGCGCTTATAAAAATAATGCACGTAGACAATTAATTATTTTTTAGATAAAAAGAAAGAAAGGAAAAAAATATCAAAAAAACGCGAAATTTGTGTTCTTATTGTTGAATCAATTTTGTAGATATAAACGAAAGAAACAAAAGAGAATTTACTATTTTTCGGATTATGGCGAACATTTCGCAATTTTTATATAAAAACAAAAAAAATCGCTAGAATCCATTTTTGAAATATTCTTTTTTTTAGATATAATTTTTGTAGCGTTGGATTAATTTTAAGTTATTTTTCATTTACACGCAATTTTTCCCTCAACCTTTCCTATTGTACTGCAAGTATTTTTATTGTACTATTTTTCCAATTGTATTTTTAGAAAATCCCCTCTCTCTCCAAAAAAAACAAAAATGCTGTACTTTAGTTGAGATTATGATTTAGATTTATTGTATGATTTAGCTTAATATATATTATATTATTATTATATTATTATATTATTATATTATACACACACTTTTGCAAGCGGTGAGTCTTAACCTAGTCACGAGTCACTATTTTTTAATTAATTATTATCAATCGACCTATTGATAATTTTATTTATTATTCACGCAAATAAAAACAAGAAAAAAAACATTATTAATTTGCTTTATTGATTTATTTTGCCGATTTTTATATCCATGTACTCCTTTTGTTTTACCTTTAATTTAAAAAAAAAAAGTCCTCGACTGTTTCTCGGCCTATGATTCCTGCAAAAATCCTGGGCCTTGAATGTCACAAAGTTGAAAGTTCAACAGTCGACTTAAAAATGTTTGGCGTTTTTTGGCCTAAGTGTTTTTTTCTTTAGTGGCCTAAGGGCGATATTTGAATTTGTTTCCAACTTTGGACAAAACGAAAAAAAATTTTTTTGTTTACGGTCGAGGGACTTTTTTTCAAATCGCGTTGTGCTTAACTGAAAAGAAATTTTTTTTTTGACGAAAGAAACAAAAAAAAAAAATGTGAAAAATTGACAAATTTTGAACTGACAATTTTTTCTTATCGAAAATTCAAATCATCGAAGTAATTTTTAATCTTATATATCTGGACGCCGCTGCGGAGATTGCGTCACAGAAATAAAAAATCGCTCTGTACCTATACATTTTTCTTTTTAAATTCGAAAATTAAAATTAAAAAAAAGTCAAAGTGCGAAGGACTGCCATCTCGTCCAGAGAATGACAGATCGATGACAAAGACGATTTTTTAATTAAAGAAAAAAAAGGAGAATAATACTAAAGTAAATAAATAATAAAGAAGCAGATTAAGCAAAGAATAAAAGATGAAACGAAGCAAAAGATAGTAAAAGTGGTGCGCGAAGTGACTAAATAAAATGCACCATTTTCAAATATCCTCGAGTTAAATTTGTTTAGGTAAGGAAAAAAAACGGTTAAAAGAAAGAGAAAAAAAAACATTTATAATCGATCGACTCGCCGTATCAGTGCAAGGAGACGATAATAACTTAAAAAAAATAAAAAACCGCAACTCTAAAACTAGAGGCAAAGTAAGGAAATGTAAGAAAAAAAAATGTTTCGGGAGAAGAAAAAGAGAGTTAAAATAATACGTACATACCTACGCGTAAATAAGGCAAAAAAAAAACGTAAACAGAATATTAAGTAATAGTATCTAACGTTAAACACTTGCAAGCTATTAATTATTATATTACGATTAATTAAAGATAAAAAGTGGCAGGCGACACACCTACCTTAAACTAATAAACTAATTATTAATACGATTATTATTAACTATCGAGTTTTTCGTGATTAAGTCATCGTGATAAACGAGAATCGGAGTAAGTTATAATTGAGAGAGACAATTTTTCCTCGATTATTAGAGTGTAAAACATTTGATGAAAAAAAAAAAAAGAAAATTACAACCAAAAAAGAAAGGAAGGGCGCTGGATAGATTTTTTTTCGTAGAATTTAGGGAAAAAAGAAAAGCGTCCTCTCCTTTTTTTTATCCGTTTTTTCCAGGTGCGTGAGAGGATAATTTTTGTGCGACTGAATATAATGATGATAATTAATTATTAAAATGAAAGTGAGAATTTTTTTTTTTCGTGTAAATGTAAAGATGATAATTAATATTACATTTTTATGCGAGTACCGCGTGCGTTACTAACTGATTGTTGACAGCGTGCGGACAAATTTTTCTGTGTGATAATCTCGTACATGTAGAGTGTTAAGAAATAATGGATTTTGGCGCGGTTGTGGTCAGGCGTGGAATGAGGATAACTCGAGGATTCAAAAAAAAAATAATTTAGGATGAAGCTCTTTCGAAAATGAAAAGAAATAAATATTTATATCGAAGGATATTCCTTCCCTTTTTAACATATCAAAATGAAATTTCAATTTTTTTTTGCCTTTTTTCATTTTGTTGAATATATTTATATAATTATTTTTTTCAAAACATATTTTTTATTTTCAAAATCGTCGATTACTCCGATTTTGAAATATACAAAATAATAGAGGAAAATAAAAAAATAATGGCAACGTAAAAAAATTATAAATAAAAAAATTATGGAAAAAAATTATGTTTAAAAAATTATGGTGAAAAATTTTACGGTGAAAAAAATTCTGGTAAATAAAAATCTATGGAGAAAAATTCTGCTAAGTAAAAAATTATGGTCAAAAAGTTATAGTGAAAAAATTATGGTCAAAAAATTATGAAGAAAAAATTAAAAATTAATGATCAAAAAATAATAAAAAAGAATTGAAAAACTCAATGATAGAAAAAAATATCAACTCTTGATTTCAAAATTTTTTATTAAAAGTAACAAAATATTAAAACATTTTTTTAACAATTTAAAAATTTTTTTTACAGAATTAACGGTAGTTGATACTCCTACCGTTAAATAAAATAATATTAAAAAATTTTTTTTTAACGAATAACGAATAAAAATGAACAACTTTTAAATATTTTCAATTGTAAATTTTATGGAACTTTTCCATGTTCAGAATTTTTAATTTCAATTTAAAACAATTTAATTTAAATTCAATTCTACTTTATTTGAATTAAACGAATTAATTTAAATTATTATTTTCAATTTTAAAAAAATAATTTCAATTCTCAAATATATTTCAAATATTGAAAAAATAGTTTCAATTTCAATTATAGTTTTAATTTTAAAATTAATATCAAATAGAAAAATTAGTTTCAAGTTAAAATAATTATTTTAATTCGAAATTCAAATTCACAATGAAATTCAATTTAAAAAATTAAATTACATTCTAAAGTAATTTAAAATTCAATTTAAAATCAAAAAATTTGTTTCAATTATTAAGTTGAAGTTAAATTCAATTTTATATTTAATTTTGAGCATAATTTGAAATTAAAAAATTAGTTTCAACATTAAATTTACATTCAATTATAATTATTTTCAATTTCAATTTAAAAAATTATTTTCAATTTAAAAAACTATTTTCAATTTAAAAATTAATTTAAATTTAAAACATTAGTTTCAATTATAAATTGAAGTTAAATTCAATTTTAAATTTCAATTGAATTTAAAAAATTAATTTCAATTTTAAATTTAATTTCAATTCTAAAAATTTGTTTCAATTCTAAATTTAATTTCAATTCTAAAATGAAATCCAATTTAAAAAATTAGTTTCAATTTTAAATTTAATTTTAATTCTAAAAATTAGTTTCAATTCTAAATTTAATTTCAATTAAAAAAAAAATAGTTTCAATTTCAAATTTAATTTCAATTCAAAAATGAAATCCAATTAAAAAAATTAGTTTTAAATCCAAATTTAATTTCAATTTTAAAACTTAGTTTCAATTCTAAATTTAATTTCAATTAAAAAAAAAATAGTTTCAATTTCAAACTTAATTTTAATTCAAAAAATTAGATTTTGATTTTAAAAATAGTTTTTGTTTTGATTTTGAATTCACTAATTTACCAAAAT